AGATCGAACAATCTTTTACAGGGCAGAATGTTCCCTTGCATGCTTGGCAAACGGGCTTTGCCGGCAAAAAAGACACCTTCTTATCTGGGCCGCTGCAGAATCCAACTTCCCGGCCTTCCCAAATGAAGTAGACAATCAACGCCAGCGCTGCCAGCAACGACATCTCCAATGGCCAAAGACGGTACCACCTACGGCAAAGGGATCTGGAACGCAGGCTGATCGCTTCAACGGTTGCTGGTCAAAATGGAGGTTCTTCAGTTTTGGGCTCGATCTCGCCCGACCAGTTACAACCCATTTCTTGATGGCAAGAGCTGAATTCACGCAGCATTGCTACGGCAAATCAAAGACAGGTTGCAATATGCTTGCTAATGTGTCTCTCAGGCAAGTGAGCGTACTACTTCAAAAGACGAAGGCAGGGCCGAAGTCAACTCAAGCAGCCTAGCATTCGATTGAGACAGGGGGGTGTTCTTTGCACATCATGAATCTACGGTGGACGGAAGAAATCCTGCACCGCCTCAGGGTGTGACTACACAAAGGTCAAGTGTGCGAACCCTCCCCTAGTTCAATGTTGAACAGTGACGCATGAGGGTGGTGCGGGAATGTTGGCCGCGCGTGCCTTTCGAACGATGCTAAGTTGGGAGCGCGAGGCGTGATGAGAATGTTCTCATTTTTTCTCAGTGCTGGATTTCTTCCGTCAACGCTCAACATGTGCATTCCATACGGGAAGTATGCAAACGACAGTGCGGCGTGTGCAAAACTGGAGCCCATGCATGCCAACAATGCTTGCGCCATTGCGAACGTTTGGCAACTGCATCAAAAGGCAACAAGCAAAGGCACCGCCAAGTACCGCCAAGTCATGCCACATTTGCACCATCACAAACATACTACGGTCGAGCCCGAAGAAGTCTGAGCAATACTTCTCAAGGCAAGTGTCACATGCGACACCTGCGACACCTGCGAACACAGTAAGCGGCTGGCCGAACGCTGGTCAAGAATGTGGATCCGGCCGCCTCAGCCTGCAAGGATGGTCCCGAGTGTAACCAATTGGGTCATTGGATCTTCAAGGACCCAATTCACATCTGGAAGTCGAGGGAGGATCATGGCATCAGAAAACCTGTCTCAGGTTTTTGTATTACACCCTGGGGGTATTGACCCCCATTTCCGGGGGTGTAATCCCTGGGTGTAATACACAAAATCCTCGGAACCTGCCATCTGGCATGTCGGTCATGAGAAGCTGAAACCACACGCCAGGAATCGGCAAGCCGCCAGTCAAAAACGGCGGGTTTGAAGTGGGTTTAGGTCTGTTTCGGGCCGGTTTTGGCTTGGCTTGGGCTTGGTTGCGGGGTGGTTGAGCGGGTTTAGTGTTGGTTTAGGCTGGCGCTAAGGGTGGGTTTACTGTTTGGGCTTGGTTTAGGGTCGGTTTGGGGATTGGTTGAGATTGAGCATGTTCAGGGTTGGTTTAGGGATGGTTTAAGGTGGGCTTGGGGCGCAAGGTGCGTTTCGGTTGGGGTCAGGGTTGCTGAGGCCAATGGAACACCACGAAAGAGCTGCGGAAAAAAAAGGGGGAAAACAACAACACGTGCAGTGCCACGCAAGCTCAAGAAGAGAACAATCCCAACAAATGCCCGCATGCACTAGCCTCCATGGCTGGTGATGCGCTACATGGAATCCAAGGTGTGCAAAAGTGTTGAGGTGTGTCAATGATACCTGCCGGCCATGTTCGGCCTTCTGCTCGATATTGTTGGAACAGCGCGGTCGTGATCGGATCTATTCGCCCAGCTGTTCCAGCGAGATGCGTTTCCTGGATGTAATCGATAATGAGTGAAACAGCTGCGGCACCGTGTCACATCCAATCTCACCCATCACAACGACACACACACACACACACACAACATACAACACACCAACACACAACACAACACACACACACACACACGCACAACACACCACACAAAACACACACAACACACACACACCCACCCGCCCACCCACCCACCCACCCACCCGCCCACGCACGCACGCACGCAGGCACGCACGCACGCACGCACGCACGCACGCACGCACCCACACACACCACACCACACCACACCACACCACACCACACCACACCACAACACAACACACCACACCACAACACAACACAACACAACACAACACACAACACACAACACACAACACACAACACACAACACACAACACACAACAGACACAACACACACACACCACACACCACACACCACACACCACACACCACACACCACACACCACACACCACACACCACACAACACACAACACACACACACACATTACAAACACACAGTTTGTCCTCGCATACCAAGGCAGCAGCCTAGCGCTGCACTGCCCCGCCCGAGCTCTGCGAGCTCAATTCAGTTGCGTATGGATCCTGCCAAATGACACTGACAAGGCGAGCATATGGAAAAGTGCCTCATCAAAATGGGCATGGCCTGCAATTCCAAAGGAAATGCATATCTGGCAAAGTTCATCTTGTCCCAAACAGTTCCCAATGCCATGTCTTTTAGATGAATGCCTCATGGCCTGAGTGCGCGGTTCAACTCCAGTGGCATTTGGTCGAATCACGTGGCTTTGGCACCGGCCGAGGCCCAGACTGCCCAGACGGGCAAACCGATTCCGGCCAGCCATTTGAGGCTTGGCCCGGGGTGGAAGCGCATCCAATGGCCGCCTTCCACCCAAAACGAGTCGGTCCAGGGCTCACTTTGAGAAGTCACAATTCAGGATGCACCTTCTCGGCGCAAGGAAATCAAGTTGCTTTGGAGAGAAGCGAACTCTGCTTTCAATATCTTTCGGCGACAAATCTTGTCGTATCAGACTCTGGAGAATGGCTCAAGTCCGGGAAGCCAGGATGTAGTTGATCCTCTGAACGCCATGGAGACCTTCGAAACCGTCCAAAGACAAATTCCGCCGTAGATCCTTGTAGATCTTTACCTTCTCCATTCTTTTTGGGGAGGTGCAGCCGACCTGGCAGGCCCAACATTCCAATGCAGACCCCAGGAGTCAGCTCTGACATGCTTTAGCGTGTTGCACGCTCGCTGCCAGAGCCGCGAGCTGGAAAAATGACCATCTTTCTGTAGTGGTCAGGGCCCGCCATTTTCAGAAAGTGCAGAATGCTGCACACCGTCCTGTCTCAAATGGGGTCCGTCCCTCGAATCCAAATGCACGGGATCCCAACCGTAAGACCGTCAGCTTTCATCTGCGCAGCATGGACTCCAGCGACTTGCGCACCTGTCAGCTGGGATTTTCCGGCTTTGGAACCATGGGGCCAGACAACCCTAGACCTTGTTTTGAGGATAACACGAGAGGTGATCTGAGAGCTGTTGCACTCAAACATCTTCAGGGAAGATGAGGTGCCACAGAAACGGTGCAGTAGGTCAAACATCAATCAATTCGGGGACCTTTATAACAAATATGTTCTTGCTGCTACAGGATTAGTCCCACGCCAATTGCTCTAGGCAGGTGCTTGGGATGATACCACACACAGGCTCACGTTGAAGAAGACCTGCTCAAAAGGCTATCTGGCGCTTGCAAAGGCTTTCTTCACAACCGGAACAGCTTGTTCCACCTCGATGAATGTAATGTGACAAATAGGGGGCTTGTTCCACACTTACAATATTCGGGCTTCAAGCGGTTTTTCTGAGTTGTAATGCAGCAACTGCTGTACACCCTCCATGTTTGCGCCTGCTAGGGTTCTGCTGTGCTTCACAAATTGCCCTCACCAACCTCATCCCCTGAATATACGTCCGACTACGACTGGCCAAAGCAGCGGCCAAAGCAACGGCCTTCAAGGGCGGCAATACAACACCCACCAACTCGCCTTGGCCCATCGCTTTGGGTTCTTTGCTCGTGAAGGGAAGCCTTTGAGGGCGGCAATACAACACCCACCAACTCAATTTGGCCCGCAAATGCCCACTCTGGGTTCTTTGCTTGCCAAGTCTTCGCAGAGCCAACCAAAAGGTTTCTCCGGGCTTCAGCCTTTTCGGAAAGTAGCAAATCTTTGAGACACCGCCCCATCCAACCTGCGGCGCCTGGGTGTCGTTGGCTCCGGCCCTGTTCAGCAGCGTTGCCAGGAGCTTCGGAAACTCCTCCACAAGTCGGGATCGCTGACCTTTGGCCCTATGCTCGACATGTGGCTGTGGTTGTCAAGACCCTGTACCCCTGGTGAACATCACAATGGTACATGGGTGTTCATCCGCCCCAAAATGGACGCATAGGTTATGACCCATGGCCATGTCTGCCTGAGCAACATCCAACCTTTGCAGTGGCACAACTTCCTGCCAAGTCACAAACTCCCTGAAGAAAATGCACACCATCTGGTGAGTTGGCCGGAACGTAAGGGATGTGGGGATGTGCGGAAACTATAGGGCCTCTGCTTCATTTCAACAAAACAACCTTGAATCACCACAACAACCTTTGGAGGGCTCCAGTTTGCACGCAGTTTGCCCCCAGCGCTCTGTCTGCCGAAATGACGCTTGCGGCCCCGTCCGCAGGGATGGCCACGGGCTGTTCGGGCCACAAAGGTGGCCACGCGGATCCCTTGCCTGGCAGGATCTCTGCAGAAGGAGAACCTCACCAGAATGAGAACCGCAAGGGCCAAAACTAAGTCCAACCACCACAGCTTCTCCCCAATATAGCGTGAAGAATGTGCGCAGTCACAATTGATTTCCAAGTGCAGCCTCGCCCGGTGCATCTGCATTCATACCTGCAGCCTTTCACTTGCCATGTGAACATGTTGGTATCCTGGGTACCCTCATCTTCAGCTGGTTTGCTCGCCAAGGGTTTGTCATTGTCCTGCACCAAGGGAAAGCCGAAGGCTTCAACTTGGCCAATATCCGCTTCTTTGGGGCTCTGGCGAGGGGGGGTAAAGCTGGTGGCACGGTGGCAATTCGTCCAGACTTGGGGAGGGCCGTCGTCATCAACCGTCCGACGAGAGAGGCAACATGCTCGCGGTGCAAAGCACACTGTTCCGCACACAGGATTGTGCCATGAAAATCTCAATAGAAGCGACAGAGCAATACAAAAATGGATGGCTTGCAAAAGCTGTACCAGTTGAATTCCAAGATAGACTGCTGACAGCTGCAACTCTTGGCTGAGCTGAAGTAGCAGTCTATCTTGATAAAAAGCTGATGAGCAATTGTACCCTCAGGCTCATTTGCCATCAGCTCCGCGCAACCCAGTGGGGTTTATCTGTTCCAACGCGGGAAAGCTCTTCACTTCGACATGAGCCGCGAGTGTGCACAATTAGGACGATCTGGACGACTCCACTTGCCTTGTGGCCTCACATAGCCGTACTGACTTAGCATTTCCTGAGCTCGTTGCACTCCAAGCTGCCAAACGGTCATTGAACTGCTTCGAAAGGCTACACGCCCATCCAACCATTCAACCGAAAAAACAAAAAATAGAAAAAAAAGAAAAACAGAAAACACAAAAAACACTGAACAACCCAAGAGCCAAGCGGCATCTGCTTCCGGGGGACCGCGGCTTCCACGAGGATACAGCGTGGGCTGCATCTTCTCCGCCTCGATCTTGTCCAGCAGGGGTGTAAACAGCTCCCAGGCACGAAGCATCTCGTCATCTCGAACAAAGCTCTGTGAGTCGCCCTGGATGGCAGCCAAAATCAAGCGCGTGTAAGCAGAGGGGGTGTAGATGTCGGGATACTTTCTGCTGTATGTCAAGTCCATCTCACTCTGCACGAGATCCGTTGACAAGCCTGGAGACTTCACATTCATCCTCATGTAAACGGCCTGGTGTGGGGAGACTCGCATCACAAGCTCGTCTCGCTTTGGCACCACGTCTTTCAGAACACAGGTCGGTGCAGGCTCCTTAAATTGAACTCGGATCTCGCACTTCGACTCCTCAACAGCCTTTCCTGCCTTCACGATGAAATTCACTCCCTTCCAGCGCTCATTGTTGATGCGAACCACCATCTGGACAAAGGTGGCCGTCCTCTTGGCAGCTTCACGATCCTCTTCAGGGATGGACTCGTCTTCTAGGTAGCCTGGCTTGCCATCAGCGCCCTCGTACTGACCAAGAACCATGTCTTTGGCATCCGGCACCTCCATTGCATTCAGCACTTCTAGCTTGGCATCACGAAGGTCGGCACAGGCACCCGAGGTGCTGGGGTTCTCCATTGCCACCAAGCAAAGCATTTGCAGCAAGTGGTTCTGCACGTTGTCGCGGATGACGCCGTACTTTGTGAAGTAACCACCTCGGCCCTGAAGGTCGAAATCCTCTTTCAAGGTGATCCTCACAGATGCGACGTGGTGACGATTCATGAGGGGCTCCAGAAAGACATTGCCAAACCGGACTGCCAGGATGCTCTGGTTGATCTCGTAGCCCAGGAAATGATCCATTCGGTAGATCGCATCTTCCTCAAACAGGGCCCCAAGCTTCTCCTGAAGATCGGTAGCTGAGCTCAAGTCATGGCCAAAGGGCTTCTCAACAATCAACCGCGTGTTGTCTGACATCGCCTTGCTCTTGATGGCCTGAGCGGCACCAGGAAAAACAAAGGGGGGGATCGCCATGTAGAAAAGCCGAAGTGTCGGGCCTTCGCGAAGCTTCCCCTCCTCCTCCTTCAGGAAGGAATCGAGCTCTGCCATAGATTCGTCACTGTCATAGCTGCCCTTGAAGTAGTGGACCCGCTCCAAGAAGCCTGGGATGCTGTCCTTGAGCTCGGGCATCTCCTCGCATACATGCGAATTCTCCATGGCTTCGGAAACGATGTCATGGAACTCGTTCCTGGTCTTGTCCTTGCGCGCGAAGCCCACGATGACCGCGTCCTGCCAGTCCGGACCGGCGGCTGGTGTTTGCTTTCATTCAGCAGTTCGTTCTTTCCAAGGGCGTGACAACTTACCAAACCCCCGCCTATTTCAGGGGTTGCAAGGATTCCCTTGAGCCAAACCCAACACTTCTACAACCGAGCAAGTTGGGCAAACAAAAATACAGCCCTCGTGAGGATGGTCTGCCCACCTCTTTACATAAGGTGTGAGGTTTTTATTGCCCAACAATCAAGCAAACAAACAGGGTAAACGCAGGCAAACAAGCAAGCTAGCACGCAAGCAAGCGAGCAAGCAATGCAAGCAATCTAGCCAGCTAGCACGCAAGCTGCCACGCTAGCCAATGAAGCTAGCCAATCAAGCAAGCAAGCTAGCAAACAAGCAAACAAGCAAACAATGCAAGCAGTCTAGCCCGCTAGTTAGTAAGCACGCAAGCCAGCTAGCAGGCAAGCAAGCTAGCTAGCAAGCAATGCAAGCAAACTCGCCAGCTAGCTAGCTAGCTAGCTAGCACGCAAGCTAGCTAGCCAGCTAGCACGCAAGCTAGCGCGCAAGCTAGAACGCAAGCAACCGAGCTAGCAAGCAAAACAGCCAACAAGCGAGCCAGCGCGCAAGCTAGCCAGCACCCAATCAAGCAAGCGCGCTAGGAAGCAAGCAAGCAAGCAAGCAAGCAAGCAAGCAAGCAAGCAAGCAAGCAAGCAAGCAAGCAAGCAAGCAAGCAAGCAAGCAAGCAAGCAAGCAAGCAAGCAAGCAAGCAAGCAAGCAAGCAAGCAAGCAAGCAAGCAAGCAAGCAAGCAAGCAAGCAAGCAAGCAAGCAAGCAAGCAAGCAAGCAAGCAAGCAAGCAAGCAAGCAAGCAAGCAAGCAAGCAATGCAAGCAAGCAAGCAAGCAAGCAATGCAAGCAATCTAGCCAGCTAGCCAGCTAGCTAGCAAGCAATGCAAGCACTCTAGCCATCTAGCCATCTAGCCATCTAGCCAGCAAGCACGCAAGCTAGCTAGACAGGTAGCACGCATGCTAGCTAGCAGCCAAGCAAGCAAGCAAGAAAGCCAACAAGCAAGCTAGCAAGCCAGCACGCAAGCTAGCTACCACCCAATCAAGTAAGCAAACAAGCAAGCACGCAAGCAACCAAGCTGGCAAGCCCAACAAGCAAGATATCAAGCTAGCATGCAAGCTAGCACGCAAGCAGCCAAGCTAGAAAGCAAAAAAGCCAACTAGCAAGCTAGCAAGCTAGCACGCAAGCTAGCTAGAACCCAATCAAGTAAGCAAGCAAGCTAGCACGCAAGCAACCAAGCTAGCAAGCCCAACAAGCAAGCTAGCAAGCTAGCAACCAAGCTAGCACGCAAGCAACCAAGCTAGCAAGCAAGAAAGCCAACAAGCAAGCTAGCAAGCTAGCAAGCTAGCACTAGCAAGCTAGCACGCAAGCTAGCTAGCACCCAATCAAGTAAGCAAGCAAGCTAGCACGCAAGCCACCAAGCAAGAAAGCCAACAAGCAAGCTCGCAAGCCAGCACGCAAGCTAGCACCCAATCAAGTAAGCAAACCAGCAAGCTAGCAAGCTAGCACGCAAGCTAGCGCCCAATCAAGTAAGCAAGCAAGCCAGCACGCAAGCAACCAAGCTAGCGAGCCCAACAAGCAAGCTAGCAAGCCAGCACGCAAGCTAGCACCCAATCAAGTTAGCAAACAAGCAAGCTAGCAAGCTAGTATGCAAGCTAGCTAGCACCCAATCAAGTAAGCAAGAAGGCTAGCACGCAAGCAACCAAGCTAGCAAGCCCAACAAGCAAGCTAGCACGCAAGCTAGCACGCAAGCTAGCACGCAAGCAACCAAGCTAGCAAGCCCAACAAGCAAGCTAGCAAGCTAGCACCCAAGCTAGCACGCAAGCAAGCAAGCAAGCTAGCGGGCAAGAAAGCCAACGAGCAGGCTGCCAAACGCCACACGCCAACACCGGGAGCGGCTTCCTCCAACATCCCGTGGCCAAAGAGGTCTAGCAGCGCTGGGAACGTCTCCACCTTCGCCAAATCCCCTGTGGCGCCCAACACCGTGATAGCCAGCTTCGGCTTTCGGTCCGCTTGGTCCTTAGCCGCGAAAGGCTTCCACCAAACCACTCTCCGAGCACTGGCAATGATAGACCTATCACATGGCCATCAGGCACAAATGTCTTTGCATTTCGATTACCCGGAGACGTTTGCTCGGAGATAGTGAATTGCATTTTCTCTTGGTGTCACAGAACCCTTCCGGGTGAAATGTGGCCTGAGCCGTGGATCTGCTTCCTCATGTCGCGAGGCTGGAAAACAACTGGCTTTGCAACATGCGATGATTCGACAAACTGGCTGCCTTGAAGATCAAACTGCTGACGCGCAAGCTCCCACATGCAAAGTCCATGTTGAATTTTGGGTCGAGGGTTTGTGACGCATAGCACGCACCACCAGCCAAAACGCTTACAAAGCACAAACGGCTTGCAGCTTAGGAGAGCGGTAGAAGCACACATAGACTCACATACACGCGGCCGACTACATTGAACCTTCACCTTTGACCTTTGATGCAAACCAAGGCACCTGCTGCTCCAAACACATTGTGTGTGATCACGGCTCCTATTTGTCACAAACGCTCCGACTTGAGCAAGAACTTGCTGGCAGTAGACGGCAACTCAACGACATTCCCCCTCATCGAAGTATGCACAAAGCTGAGCAATCCGGACACCCACTTGAAGTGGGCAGGTTGCATCTTGTCAACATGATGGGCCATGGGCCATGCGGGGCCATGAAGGAAGTTGATCAATCAAGAAGAGAAAGCAACAATTCTGGGTGAATCAAAATACATTTCACCTACATAAACCACCATTTGGGGTGAATTCGGTCGTGTGAGGTCGTTTTAATTCCCCCAGAAACATTAGGCAAACATCTTCGACCGCTTGGAATCTGTCAACCGTTCAAGCGACAGCGAAAGCTGCGGCCGCGCGGCCTGATTTGCAGGTCTGGCTGAAGGCCTGGGCCCCGGAATTGTTCGGCTCCGGTCTTTTGTGGCCCTCGAGAAAACTGGGCTAATGATAACACCGGATTAATAAACCCTTGCTTGATTAATAGGGGGTGTCCCCTTTTGGTGGGGATTCATCACTTTTGGAGGGAACACCACCCTAATAATGGGACGGGTTGATTAATCCTGGGTCAACTTTTACCAGGTGTACTGGTCCAACCAGGGAGTTTCACCTTGAGTACTGAAATGAGCAGTGTTTCTTTGGTGGTTTTTGTGGGCCTCTACCCATGTTGCAGGTGCCTGCACGGACGCCCACGCGGGCGCAAATGTTCAGTTCAGTCAATCGTACTACGCAAAGTCCACTGGGGCAGCTTCAGCTCGAGAATCGCAGCTTTCCAGTGAGTGTACCGCCTTCAAACGGCGGGGTTGCAAATCTTGGGAGCTGACAGCTGGCAAGGGCCTAGGTGTTGAAAATGCCTTCGATGCGGAGCCGACGCAAACACTGTAGAACAAACAAAGGAAGCCAAAAGAAGCAACACCAAGTCTTATTGGCAAACAGCGTTGAACCGTGCTTTGTTCAAGAAATGGCTACGTGAGACATACGTGAGGGCTCCGGGCAAATTTACCAACATCTCATTTACATGAGGACCACCGCCTGTTTCAGTTTTGCACACAACCGTAGTTGGTCTGGAATCCATGTCCAAAGAAGCTGCGGGGGGCACACACTGAGACAGGTCGATATCTGCAGGCAATGGTTGAAACAACAGCCTACGCGCAAAAGCCTCCGCCCAAGCAGGATTGCCTAGCAAAAAAACATGCAGTTGCCTCTTTGCACAAACCCGTCCAGTTGAATAAAGATTGCTGCTAAAATGATGTTTGTTTTTCCAACAGCTACAAGAGCGGACTACTAGAAGAAATCTGGGAGAAGATAAATCCACCGAGCTTCCCACGCAGCAAACAATCCTTCCCTTTCTTGTTGGTTAGCGTTTGCTCCTAAGCTGGACGGAGGAATTCGCCAAAGAGGGCGCAAAGAGCCGTGCAGAGCGAGGCTGTGCAATAGCAGAGCTGCGCAGCAAGGCCTATCTTAAGATGCGCTGCTTGACAAAGCTGGGTTGCAACGCGCGTTGCAGCAAGGCTATGTCTGGATGCGCCGTGCAGCAAAGCGACACTTTTTGAGCTAGAGCCCTTCGCTACGCTTTCGGGAAAAGATCAGGCTGGAGAGAAAAAACAACCCTGGCTGTCGTCTAGCATGCCATTGTCAAAACTTTCAGCAAGGCCTCTGCAGGGGTTGAACCCCCAGCACTGATCCCCAGGCTTCATGCCACCTCCTGGACGTCCAAGAATGTGAAAGATTCTGACCATAAAGGGACTCACAACGTACCAATCAAACCAACAATTCATTGGTCAGGCTTTTCCATCAGCCACGGCATGTAAGCGCCGGCGCACAGCCCAGCTCCAACCGCTTCCCGCTGAGAGGCCCAAAGTGCCAGCGACCACCACAAGGAGGGACAGCGTGAACAAACCTCCCGCTGCGGCTTTGGCGGCGTTCCATGAAATGCCCTTGATACAGCAAGGCCGAAGGGACCAAGTACTTTTTTGCAGCCACACTCAACAAGAATGCCCACGACAATATGCACAAAGCGCACAAACTACAACACGTATTGGTAAACATGACATCTCTCGTGCTCCGGCAAACTCCATACAGCAGTATGCAAAGCTTGATGAAGATTGCAACTGAAGAGAAGCGGCACAGAAACACAAGGTAGCCAGAAGACGGGGCCAAAAAGCCAAGTGACAGATTCCGCGGAGGGCATGCGCACAGCGCGCTTGCTGCGAGTGCTGGCGGTACCTGTCGCCAGAAAAAAGAAAAAGGTTGGGGCGCCGTAGAAAAAGCTCCCGAAATTGAGGCCCCTTTGATGTGCTTCAAAGGAGCACAAAAGGACACAAACATTTTTTTGCGTCCTGAATTCTGGAAATATCCAATGGAGGCATCCAACAGCAACTCAGTAGTCGCCAGTAGTCTTGTAGCCTTGGAAAATTCTGATTTCAGGCCGTGTCCCTTCTCACGAAGCGTGTCTGTTGAGTTCTGTCACAGGGCTATGCATCTGTGGCCAATGTATCCCCATCTCGTTATTCTGCAACCTTTTGAAGACAGCCTTGGCGGTGCCAAAATATCCGGCTAAACACAATACACATATGCAATACACAAACGGCCCTCAACCTGGGCGGAAAGCTGGCAAAAGTGCGTGATAATTACCCCCTAAGATGATGGCAAGGTTACTGAAGGCTTGGAAGACTTGTAGACCTGATCGATTCAAGGCGAGCTCCAGGAGACTTGCCTTCTCAGCACAGCTGGTTCCGGGCACCTGTTCTCGCCGCTCCGAAGTACGGGCTACAAAGTACTTTTGTCAATCATGACTGGTTTGGAAAGGAAATGGCCCACTTACTGATTTGGCGAGGCGGATCGCCAAGTTTTGCCAAATGCTCCCCGGGCAGAAGCCAGCGGAAGCCCATCCGGGCTTCCCAGCCCAGGCATCGAGCGAAGGCCATCATCTGCGCCAGGGACCACAGGGGCAGGCGGTCGAACAGGGGGCGAGGGCCTGATGCGATAGATGGAAAGGAATAAGCCATTGACGAGCTTTGACTGGGCGTGTTTGCCATTCCAACATGTTACCCCAGAACAAGCAAACCGTCCAATGCATGCCCAGCGCTGGCCATTAGAACCCCCGTCTGAGTGGCGGGCACTCGCCCTGGTAGATCACACGAAGAGTTGGAGGCGTCTTCGTGTTGGCCTTGGCCTTCTCGATGGACCATTCCAGCACCCGCGGCTTGGGAGACCTGGGCTCAACTGCCTCACGAAACAAATGGCCATGGGTCAAAAGCCCGATTGTCCCCCAGTGAACATCCCAATCCAACCACTAAAATCGACTAACATGGGTGGTGAATTCACCTACCCCAAAATGGGATCTTATTGGCTTTGACCCACAGCCAAATGAGTCCGAGTGCTCCTTTGCTCATAAGCTGCGCTTTCTTCTCTGTGTGAAGGAGTACCAGGATCCGAGTTGTCTTTGTCCTTTTACTGGTCACGGACACATTGAACTTCTCGTTGTTGGTTCGAAGGTCACCAATCAATCCACGTGAAGTGGTAGCCTGAGGGCTCAGGTGGGTGAAAGTTGCAGCGCTAGTATCCTTCCCAAAAGGGCTCGTTTGGCAGAGAGCCTTGGTTGGGAGTAACCACATGCAAACCATTGAATGGAACTTCTACTTGTGAATATAAATTATTATATATGTATAAGGAGCAACCAAGACTCATTGCTTACCCTTAGAACTTAGACATTCTTGTTGTTTGGTCGTTCTACAGTGTTTTGGCACACACTCTTGTTGTATGATGTGTTCATCGCGGATTGTGATATTATCCAACACTACCGCTACGCCCCCCACCCAAACACAAACAGACAAACAAACAACCAACCAAACAAACAAACAAACAAACAAACAAACAATCAAACAATCAAACAAACAAACAGACAAACAAACACACAAACACACAAACAAACAAACAAACAAACAAACAAACAAACAAACAAACAAACAAACAAACAAACAAACAAACAAACAAACAAACAAACAAACAAACAAACACACAAACAGACACACAAACACACAAACACACAAACACACAAACAAACAAACAAACAAATAAACAAACAAACAAACAAACAAACAAACAAACAAACAACAAACAAACAAACAAACACACACACACAGACACACAGACACAGACACACAGACACAGACACAGACACAGACACAGACACAGACACAGACACAGACACAGACACAGACACAGACACAGACACAGACACAGACACAGACACAGACACAGACACACACACACACACAAACACACACACACACAAACACGCACAAAAACACACACAGACAGACAGACACACAGACACACAAAGCCAAAGCCATGAACATAACCCTCAGTTGCCCAAAGGACCTGCGACTGAAAGGTTAGCCTTTTGGGGCCATGACTAAATATGGACCAAAATGGGAAAACCACAATGTCAAAAGCTCGCCTTTGAAGAACTGAGTAACCAGGTCTCCAGTTGATGGCTCGCCAGGTCCCTAGTTGATCCACCCGACTGGGTCACAGGGCAGCACGGCGCTCCGCCTCGCCTCGGTGGCCACCTGAGGAAACAAAAAACGGCGACGGGAGTGACCGGTGGAGCCCGGGAAAATCCGATGAAAAACCAGTGGAACGTGAAAAGCCGGGGAAAACCGGGGAAAAAACAACAAAACGTGAAAAACAACCGTGAAAAACCGGAAAAAAAAAAACACACACACACACAAACCCGGAAAATGAGGGGAAACCCAAAGGAAGCCGCCTGTGTCGTGCTGCCTGGCAGACTTTTCCTTTGATGGTTAGGTGACCGGTGGAGAGGTTTCTGACAGGTGGGTTCTAGGATGCTCCACACATGATTGTCCTTTTGGTGCAAGCTGGAACCCATTTTGTAGAAACTGGGTAGGGTTCCCCGAGTTGTGGTTGGTGTATGTTGGTTTGGTTGATCATCAAACTTGTAGTTGGCCACGCTGTGATTTACCTAAACCGAGTAAAACCCAGCAAGTAAATTGTCAGGTTGCGGTTGGTT